CTGTCCACAGGTGGCCGAGGCCTCCTTTCCTGGGGCTCTCGGTGGCCAACTGCATGTGTTGGAGCTGGGGCGCTGGGCGGAAGCTGGGCACATGCTGCTGACATGGACCTTCAGGTATTTAGGCAAGAACGGTGCTGGGTTTCCCCATTCCGTGAGCACACAACTCTGCTCAGTGACCTGCCCGAGGCCGTCAGCTAGTTAGAGGGGCTGAAGCTAGTCTCCCGGGCCCTTCTCTGCTGCCCTGCAGACCTCTGCCCTCCTTGGCCCTGACTCTGGACACTGCTGTCCACGGCTTTGCAGTGTTGGGAGTTTCTCTGCCCCCCACGCGGTCGGGCGCCCCCCACGCGGTCAGGTGCTCTCCAGCAGACCGCAGAGCAAAGTGGACGAACTGGCTTGTCAGGTCAGTCCCCTTCAACGTGTCATGGTCATTACGGGCACCCAGGCCTAACTGCAGGAACTCGGATTTGGAGTTTAGGAGAGAATAGAGCAGGGAGACTAAATTCTTTATTCTGCTACCTCAGAGCCAAGCTGACTGATTAAATTTAGAATATTACAAAACCTCTACATGGCCAGAAAGAATTAGATTATACAACTGAAATTCATTTCTAAGCCAGAGCTCCTTAGACTGGTGTAGAACCCTTTCAGGACCGAAGGGAAATCTTCACTTAAAAATAAGAATACAGAAAGCAATTTAACAGCTACAATGGCAACAGCTAAGTCTTCTAGCAAAGAAGGGGGTGGTATTTGGCTTCTGTTCTGTCCTTTTGGAGGAATGGCCCCGCACACATCAGCGTGTCTGATCGGACAGTCTTGCTGGGCACCTGGTGCGAACGTAGCTCCCCGCGGGATGAGATGGAGGCCGAACTCGGCAGGGCCCCTGGGACACGCCGCCGGGCTGGAGGGGAGCTGGCAAACCCACACGCTTCTCAGGATCGGGGGGCGGCCGCCCTCAGCTGCTGTGCGGCCCTGACCAGTGGAGCTGCTTTCCTGGCCAGGTGCCCAGCGCAGGCCTCTGGGCGGTCAGGACGTGGCACAGGGAGGCAGGACAGCAGAGGCCTGAGCGCATGAGTCGGGCACCCCTGCGGGGACATGTTGGAGCGCGAGCGGAAGAACAGGCGGGCGAGCCTGTCCTTGGTGCCGGTGGCGCTGGGGAGCCCCTGGGGGCCTGCACGAGGACCGTGGCCTGTGAGGCCCTGGGCAGGTGCTTCCAGCCGCTGGGGGTGAATGGAATCCCACGGGAGGCTGAAGCCTGCGGACCAGTGATGACGATGTAGCGAAACCCCTGCATAACGTGGCAAAAAAGAAAAGAAAAGAACAAGAAAGCAGGTGGTTGTAGTCAGTCAAGTAAGAAATCACCTGGGGGGGAAGCCGCAGGGTTTGGGACAGCTGCCTGCCGGGGCTACATGGACAGAAGGAGCCAGACTCACAGGCAGCAGTAGGACCACGGTGACTTTCGGCGGGAGCCTCGCTCGGGTTCCGGCCTCTGCGAGTTTCTTTAGCCGTGTGCTCGCTGCCCCAGTGTCAGCCGCCCGCGGGGTGGGTGTCCCTGCTGCAGAAACCCCTCTCGAGTGAGTGACGTCTCTGTTCCTCAGGGATGTTCTGGAAAGTCCTCCTGGGATTTTAACAGCATCACTTGCAGAAGTCCAGTACATTTCCCACCAAAGTTCTGGAGGTCATTCTAGCGATTGGATTGAGGTGGGCTTTTTTTTTTTTTAATTGCAAATTCCTGTAGAATTTGAACAACACTAGAGCATCCTAAGTGTGTCTTCTGGCAGAATCCGACCCATGCCTCACAAACCGTGCACTAAACGCTATGCTCCATAGTTATCGTCTAAATAAAAACTCTGCATCGGGCTTTAATTTAATGAAAGCGGATATTATTTGACAAATTAAAACTGCACTCGTCCCGACCAAAAATGCTGCACATCCACAGATTTCGACCGCTGCCCATGCCCTTGTGCTCAGAGAAGCTACGTTCAGGACACGATGCCCTTCTCTGTGCCTCACAAACAGCCCTATTCAGGGACACAAAGCCTAACTGTTGTACAAATACTAGTATTCAGATGCGTTTGTGTTTTGTTAATGCGTTTAATCATGTACAATATAGCTTTTGTTTCTCTTCCACATTTGCATTAATTTATATCAGCCACAGAATATAAAGCACAGCCAGAAATTCAGACCCCATTTCTGTGGCAACCTGTAAGTTATCAGTGCGTCCCTGCAAAAATCTACAGCTTGATGCTGGCCGTGGTGTTTTCCTGTGACTGCAGGGCAGTGAGGCCTTAAGCGGCTGCATCAGAAATAATTGTGTTCTTACGGGTTTGAATTTCATCAGTGGTCGGAGAAGACGGGCCATGCTCTGAGTGACACATTTCTAAGGCACCTCACAACTGCGTACTGTCTCGTGGGGGCTGGAATGAGGTCACGGTGATCCCGGGTACCAGGTGTCCGCCTTGAACTCTGTCCCTGGCAAACACTGAGGACCTAGGTTGGGGTGACGTGCTCTTTTTTGGAGATACAGGTGAAGAAGTGTCTGCCTGTCATGCTGTCCTTCATGGGACCATCTGACCAATGTGATTTTGTTGAAAGAGCGTGGAATCATCTGCCTTTTCTGACTGATGTGTTAGCGAAAGTGTGTGCTCTAGATGCACACACTTCTGAGACGACGTGTAACAGAAGGAAGAGGCCGCTGCCTCCACTGGGTCCCTCCCGGTCCCCGCAGGGGCCCTCCGTGGCCTCCCCTTCATCTCTCCTGTGGCCAGCAGTCCCACCCACCTGTGCCCACCTGCAGGCCCAGCCACCTTCTGCCTGGAAGTCTGGTCCCGTCCACATCCCACAGTGGCCTCTGGTCCCTCTTGGGAGCCCTTCCTGGCCCCTGAGGTCTGTGCAGTCTTGACCAGGCACCTGGGCCTCCCACCCAGCGGCTCCTCTCACCAGTCCCTCCGGCTCCAGGCCGTTCTGCTGGGCGTCCGCCCCCCTGCAGAGGCACCCCCTCTCCGCCCCAGTGCGCCCCTGGACCACTCCCTCCATCCCTCAAGGGGCCTCCCTCAAGCCCCGTACCCTGCCCTGCTCTGCTGTCTTAATTAGCATAGGCTGGTAGGAAATTACACATGGTGTTTGTGTCCTGTGGCTGCAGCAACAAATAACCACAAACCGGGTGATTTACGACGACAGGAAGTTCCTCTCTCACATTCTGGAGGCTGGGAATCTGGAACCAGGGTGTCAGCCGGCTCTCAGGGACGATCCATGTCTCTTACCTTCTGGCGTCCCCGCATCTCTCCAGTCCCTGCTGCCATCACGCGGCCTCTGCCCTGTGTGTCTCTGTCTCTGTCCAAAGCCCCCTCTTTTTATAAGGACACCAGTCACTTGGTTAGACCCACTCTCTTCCAGTACAACCTCATCTTACCTTGCTTATTTTTTTTTTATTATTATGTTTTGTTAATCCCCATACATTACATCATTCGTTTTAGATGTAGTGTTCCATGATTCATTGTTTGTGCATAACACCCAGTGCTCCATGCAGCGTGTGTCCTCTTTAATACCCATCACCGGGCTAACCCATCCCCCCACCCCCCTCCCCTCTAGAACCCTCAGTTCATTTCTCAGACTTTCTACAAAACACCCTATTTCCAAATAAGTTCACATTCACAGGGACTGGGGTTTAGGATGGGGACTTGCCACTTTGAGGGACACTTCATTTCAGAACATTCATTTCCATCAATGTTCATGAGACAAGGACCACATCTTGTTTATTACTGCAGCACAAACATCTAGCTCTGTACATTACACTTATTAGGTACTCAGTCAATAATGGATGAGTGGCTGGGTGGGTGGATGGATGTTTGGGTGGGTGGCTGGGTGTTTGGGTGGCTGGGTGGTTGGGTGGCTGGCTGGGTGGGTAGCTGGCTGGGTGGCTGGATGGATGGTTGGGTGGATGGAATTTTGGGGGTGTGGCTGGGTGGTTGGGTGGCTGAGTGGCTGGGTGGTTGGGTGGCTGGCTGGGTGGGTGGCTGGGTGGGTGCGTGGGTGGGTGTGTGGGTGGAGGAATGCATGGGTGACTGGGTGGAGGGGTAGCTGGGTAGACAGATCTGTGGGTGGTTAGGTAGGTAAGTGGCTAAGCAGATTAATGGATAGGTGGGTGCTGCTGTTGGGTAAATGTCAGTGAACAGATTGGTGGGTAGTTGGGTGGATAAATGGATGGATGGGTGGATGGATGGTATTACAGGTAAGTGTGAGTAAATCCACATTTTCTCTAAATAAGTAACTAAGGGTGAAGTGGAGTGCACATGCACTTAAACCTAACTTGCAACTTGAGAGCAAAATGGGTGTATTGCCGTTCTGGAAGGAAATGCTTTATTTTTGTATGTATGTAAGAGGTATGGGAGGTGCTAGAGCACATAGAACATTCCCACTTCAAACTTTATCACTGTGGCTGCTTACAGAAGAGGAGCCACATGAAAATGTCCTCAATAAGCAGTTCTCTAGTGCAAGAGCCTCTTGTGGAATCTGGAAACTAAAGAATTCTAAATGTCCTGTTTCTTTAGGGCATACATTACAAAAAGACGTGGGAAGTTCCACTTTCATCAAGAACACTAAAAATACCTTTGGTCAAATCAGTGCCCCCAGCACGTTTAGCTTATGCACCAGTGAAGTTTTAGAGATTGAATGTCCCGCAGTCCTGGCCTGTCCACGCACAACCATGGCTGCACCCAGGGGTGACTGCTGCGTCCACGCCGGCCGCTTCAGCGGGAAGCCAGGGTGCGCTTGGCCTAGGGGGCCAGACCTCGAGTAGGGGCCCTGAGACAAGACCTGCAAGTAGGACACTCAGGGCAGATCGGGTCCTGCCAGAAGCCGTCTGGGGCTGCCACGTAGCTTGCCGGCCCCGTGCACATTCTGTGGCTTTGGTAGGAGACAAGCAGGTCCCTCGCCCTGGAAGAAAGCGGCATTGTCCCTCGCTCTGCTTTGCACGGCCCGTGTTCATGTCTCACTGTTGTTTGCAGGGGAGGCAGATGTGGAGCAGAACAATGGGACCCCCTCTCAGGACACAGCGGTGACAGACTCCAAGCGCACAGCGGACCCAAAGAATGCCTGGCGGGACGCCAACCCAGCTGACCCCGGGGGCCGCCCCCACTTGATCCGCCTCTTTTCCCGAGATGCCCCGGGGAGAGAGGACAACACCTTCAAAGACAGGCCCTCGGAGTCAGACGAGCTCCAGACCATCCAAGAGGACAGTGCAGTCAGTCCTGAGGGCCTGGATGTGATGGCGTCACAGAAAAGACCCTCCCAGCGGCACGGATCCAAGTACCTGGCCTCAGCAAGCGCCATGGATCACGCCAGGCATGGCTTCCTCCCGAGGCACAGAGACACGGGCATCCTTGACTCCCTCGGGCGCTTCTTTGGCGGTGACAGGGGTGTGCCCAAGCGGGGCTCAGGCAAGGTGAGCTCTGAGGAGTAACTAGGGGCACACAGAACGTGTGTCCACTTTAGTTGACAAGGAAAAGGAAGGAAAGTCAGCAGGTGAGCTAAGCCCTGGCAGAGACCCTGGCGCAGTCCCCCGCCGTCTAGCTGCTGTCCTTGCTGGCCATGCTCGCGGCCGCGGGCAGGGGGGGGGGGGCAGTGGGGCTGGGTTGCTGCTTTTGCTGCATTTCCACCCAACTCAGCCTCCTTCCCCTCCTCGCAGTGGATGCAGTGGGGATGTGGCTCAGGAATGCAAGAACATTCTGAATTCTGCATCCCTGGGGGGCGTGGCGTGGGCGTCATGGGCATTGTCCGGGGTCTCACGCTCGGGGTTTTGTGGCTGATTCCGCTTCCGTGCCCACGCTTTTGGGGTCGACACTGGGTTGTGCTCATTTTCCTTGGCATCCGTGCTGCGAGCTTCGCGTGGTCTTGCAACAATCGTGCGATTGAGGACTTTTGAACAAACTCGAAATTTAAATTCGCCTTGAGCAAATTGTGTCTTTTATCTGAGTTATTTAGGGGAAAGGGGTGGAGTGATCCTTGCGTGTGCCTATGAATCAGAACTGTATTATTTTGTTATTCCATTAATTCAAATAGAGAATCTGTGAGGTTTCACTATGTAAATGTTCTGTAGATACAAATTGTATCAGGAGGGAAAAAGCTCCCATTGTGTCCGTTCCCAGCCTCGGCTCCTGGAGTGGATGGTGACTGGGTCATCTATGGTGGTGGTCCATCAGAGAGCTGAGTCCCAAGTGGCTTTGCTGTAGCAAACACATAGCATGTCCTATGCCTACTTCGGGTGCTGTCTTAGCTGGGTCCTTTGCGAAGGAGAGGGTCTTTCCAAGAAAGCCCGGGTTTATTGCTGTGCTCACAAAACACGCACGATGTAGCTTTTCTCCTGGCTGTGCATCCTGCTGATCCTGAAAGTCCTGGGAATGTAAAGATTCTTTTGAGTGAAGTGTGGAGCAGGGGCCCTGACTTGCAATTTTAAAGGAGTTTCTAAAATTTACTTTAGTCTCTGACTGCAATTTTTTAAATTCCTGAGGAATTGTGAAATCGTTGAACGGTAAACGGGAAGGCAGTTTGGCCGCGCGGGAATTAGGGCGCCGGCAGGCTCAGGTGCAGCTAATGTGTCTCTCGCATCTGCCCCCGGGTGCCAGCATCGCCCACGTGACACTTGTCGTGACTTCTGGTGACTAACACTTGCCGTGTCTTAAGTGCTAACGGGGTCCACCTTCTGCTTGCTTCTTGCAGTGTCCGTCTTTGCAGACAGTTGCTTTAACTTTGGGGCAGTCTTGCGTCACCCTAAAATGGTGGTCGTCTGACTTCTTTCCAATGCTGATTTCAGTCTGAGGTGCTTTTGGAGCATAGCTGTGAAACCACCCCAGACTCTGGCTGCCGAGTTGCGTCTTGCGGTTATTCTCAGCCCCCAGTAGGCATGCAGCATCGCCAGTTTGAAAGCTTAAGCTGTTCTGCTTCACTCAAGGTACAGGAAAAAATATATTTACACTGTGCAGAAAAGATTAAGTCGCTGTATGGCATATGTTATAAAACAAGCTTCATTTCAGTGGTAATGGTCTAAATTAAAATTGTGAATGCATTGATATCAATCATTGTGACTTTATTTCAGAATGGATATATACGTATGTGTGTACGTGCATCCGTGTTTGTTCTCCTCTATGTACAATTACAACCATTGTTGCTTTAATACTTTCAAAGGAAAGATTCATCTCAGAAGGAGGCATCAACTTTGCAAAAGAGTGTTGCCCGATTAGCAAGGATCCAGAGAAATCAGAATATTTTCACAGGATTTTTAAAAATGAGAATCATGTTTAAACAATTGTTTTAGAATTTTTGAAGTATCAATTCTGTTCACTACTGAATGTTGAATAAAGAGGATTTAAAAACGAACAGCCTTGCCTTTTGCTGCCAGAGAAATCCGTTAGAGTTTGCACGCGTCGTCACATAGCAGCTTCCCACGAACGCAGGCCCGGGATGCCTTCCTGTGTAGCATCTGCTGAAACCAGTATCTGTTCGGCGCCCCTGTTTTACTGTGGACTCTTTGTTTGCTCTTGAACACTGGAGATGTGAGCCTAAAACCTCTCCGCCCAGGTGCACGCCCACGAGGGCCTTAGGATTCTGGGGTATTTACCGGTGCGGACCGCGAGGGGTGATTCTGTGGCTTTGTTTCTGTTCTTGCTTTGCTCTGCGTGTCGTAAATCAGCAGAGCCCTCATCTTATAGAAAGGTCTTTGGATTGAGGCTTGAGAGAAGAGAAGCAAAAGGCCTGATTATTGTCCCTAAAAGCCCATTTCGTGTTTCCACCATTGGTCATTCCCGAGACAGTTGTCTCAGGTACATGGTATCCTAAAGAGCACCCCCAGGCCTGAGAGTCGGCTGCCCCACCTGGGGTGTAAAGTTGGGGGGAAGCAATTATTCTGCTTGTCTGTCTGCAGTGGTTTTTCCTGGTGGAATCGTGCAAGGCTGAAGGCAAGGACCCTGGGAAGGAGGGTGTTGGTCCGGGGACCCCTCCGCGGCCCCCCACTCCCCCGAGGCCATGTGGCGCTTCCAGCCCTGGGTTGGCGCTGCCCCCCGCCCCCATCCTCAGAATGCCTTGACAACACCCACCCTTGTGTGGCCTGGCGTTGACATTCAAGGAAAGTGCATTATAAATTCCTGGAGGAGGCATATTCCTTTGAGAGCCCTAAAGGAAGAGCATATTTATGTAGAATGTGCTCTTTTGTTGCAGAGGAGGAAAGAAGGGTTGTGTTGTTGCCACCCAAAGAACAGCTCTCCCAGCTCCCTGGAGTGTGGGGCCTCGGGCAATGGGCAGGCCTTTAGGAAAACAAAGGAGAAAATGCATGGGGTCTTTGTGGAAGGTGCCCTCCAGAGCGGCCACCCCCCACTTGCTGCTCCCCTTGTCGGACCTCACCCCCTCCGCGGGGTACAGTGGCCAAAGCCTTGAGCCAAGGGATCGCTTTGGAAACTGCCTTTGTTCCTTTTTATCTGCAAGGGGGGAGGTTTTAGAAGTAACTAAGCTGGACACAGTGATATGGCCCCCGGGCCTTTCCCAAGTAAGAACATGCCCCCTCAGATTTCTCCAGACCAGGGTATTTTAAAGAGTTTTTTAAAGTTAGTCCCACACTGATGACTGTACCTTTCTGTCCTGAGTAACCTGCTCTGCTCAGCATCCTGTCATTCAGCACTCTGTTATTTCCGTGCCTCTAATTTTGATCATATGGGATGAAAATCATTTGTCGTTTACCACTATGGGGTATGATCAATCTTGTAAATTAATCACCATGTCTGTTTCCCGGTTTTTTCCCCACTTTAACTTCATTTAACATTTAGTTCTACCATCACTTAATGCTTCGTCGTTAACATAATATCCCAATTTTGTAGCTATATTCTGTAATCCTGTGGGGAGTGTAGTGTGCAGAGGCTGAGGAGGGACATGGTAGGAAGCGTGTGGAGGGCCCCCCCTGCCATGCGGCACCTGACCCCCGAGTCCAGGGCCTGGGGACCTGCATGCTCCCTCTCAGCAGAAAGTTTCTGCTCCCAGGAGTGCAGCCCCGCACACGAAACCAAGTTGAATGTCTGTGCGAGGCTGTGTGGCCGTGATCTGGCCGTCAGTCCCGTGCTTCAGTTTGCCCGGAGATTTGGCCACAGCTCTTCCTAGAGAACAGACAATGTGGCAGGTGTATTTCAAACAAATACTTTCTGAGATGTCCCCCAGGAATATTTTTATGAAGTGTTACTACTCTGATCAATTCTGGATCAGCGGCTTCCCCAGCTCGGCTGCGGGCAGTTTACTGTGGACCCCGTTGTCCACGGACCCTCAGTGTCCAGTGTCCCGTGGCTTCAGTGGGCGAGATCTGCGTTCGGGCGGGTGGCCCCGCTCCGGGGGGGTCCTGCCACGTCTTCCGTGTGAGCCACGTGTCTGCGTGTCATGTTGATGTGTCTAATGGTGACCGCCTTCTGGTGAGTGTTATGTATGCCTGTTTGATTTTGTGATGAACTTTTGCTTCATATATATTTCTTCTTTTTTATGCACTCATTAAACTTTGTAACAGACCAAGGGTGTTATGCTACCTGCACGTGAATTTTTCACGTTGTCTTCTTTGGGCCCCCCCCCCACGAAGTGCATTTAACACAGGTATTCTCGCGGGCTCCTGACAGGACAGCCAGCAGGTGAGGGTGAGGGCCAAGCGCCCCCACCTCGGCACGCGGAGGTCGGTTTCTCACTCTGTGCTTTTGCACAAAGACTTTTTCTTTTCTCTCCGCGGGCAGCTCGTGTCCTGGTCTATCATGGCTGTTCTTGTTCCCCTGGATGTGTCAGCATCTGTGTGTGAGCGCTGTCCCTGCTGAGGGGAAAGTGTGGGCACGGAGTAGACTCTGCCCTCCCTCTGTGTGTGTGGGGGGGGACACAGCCCACTCGGCGGCGTTTCCCGAGCCACTGGGCACATGGGAGACCCATCCCGCCTGTGCGTCCAAGGTGTCCCGGAAACCCCGGGGAATCTGGACGTGGCAGTGCGCTAGCTCTTCCCAAGGACGCCAGTGCGCCTGGAGGTCATGGATAAGGTTGGGTCTCGGATGAACTAGAAATAAAAGCCACACACGATTAATTTGGATGCGTTCACCTGCCCAGCTTGCCCTCACTCCCCTCCCGCTACGTGCATTCACAGCATGTACAGGGACAAATGCCACTGGTTTTCCTTTTGGTCGAAGGGTTAGATGTTTGGTGACAGGCTTGGCTGACTGGTTTATGGAGAGCTGGGCCTGACCTCGGAGGGAACGTATCCCAAGAGGGAAGAGCCCCCTCCCCAGAGCTCCCGTTAGCTGTAGGAACCGCAGAACCCGTAGAAGTGGTAAGAGTCTCTCTGCAGGTCTCTCCCACCCCACTCTTTTTTTTTTTCTTTTAAAGATTTTTTATTTATTTAGTTGACAGAGAGAGACACAGCGAGAGAGGGAGCACAAGCAGGGGGAGCTCTCCCACCCCACTCTTAACTGCCCCGAAGCTGTCCTGCTTCAGAGGAAATAGTATAAAGTGGGGAGAGTTCCAGAAACAGGAATTGTTCCGAGGAAGCCCTCGAACGAGGGCTCCTCTGAGGGGCACTTCCCGCCAGCCCCACGGGGCGCACCCAGTGACGCACCAGCCCCTCCCGCACCTGTATGGGAGGTCAGGTGAGCTCGGCCACTGGGGTGCCTCGTCCCCCTGCCGTCGCCCATGAAGAGGATGCCCGTCTTCCCCCTCCTTCCCGTGCTTGGGGGGCTGCGTTCTCAGCCGCCCAGCCGCCTCTCCCTGAGCTGCGTGGCCAGCAGCCCACGGAGCCCTGTGTGCCGGGGGGAGGGGTAGCTTGACATGGGTCCCCGGCGCGACCTGGAAACAGCTCAAGGAGCTGGTCTCCCTCGTTAACAAGGGGCATTGCTCTCAACGGGGAAACAAACTAGAAAATTCTTCTTTGCCTTTTGGCCAAGGGTGTCCATGCCCGTCTGCCACCCTGTGGGGGGGGCTCACATCTTGTGGGGACGACCAGGCCCGATCGAGGCAGAAGCCACGGCAGGCTCATCCACCGAGGCATTAACATAAACAATAGCCTCACTCTGGTAGGACTCCATGCCTGGATTAAGGTCACCAGGGCTTCTCGCTGGAGTAGAAATCACCGCTCTTGCGTGGGGAGAATCAAGGGTGGGATGTACAGCTAAGCAGACTCACCCTAGATCTGCCTCGGAAAGCCCTGTGTGTTCACTTTGCAATAATATTTCTAGAACACACTAACATTCTCCTGTGTCATAACCACAGCTCATTCTTCACATAACCCACCAGTGACTTGTTATTTTAAAAATCCATGTAATCTACAGCCAACTTGAGACATCTCTTAAAATCATTTACATCGATTTTATCTTTTGACCAATGTAAGGTACCTTCTCTCCCCGCCCATGAGCCCACCATTCTGCCGCATACAGTCAAACAAGGGGAACTTTCTGCAGGCCATTTACCTTGGTCCCACAGTCATGCTCTCTCAGCCACACCACTCAAAACTGGGTGATATGCAGGTGCTATCTTACAGCGAATAGAATCGGGAAGACACACAGTAGGAACAGACACTACTTAGGAAGATTTATAGCAACCGAGCTTAGAGTTAGGGTTAATGCACAGCTCACGTCCAGGCATGCTAAGTTAATATTAAGGCTTCTAAATCTCACCAACAGCAAGGAAGAATGCGAGACCGTGTAACCCCGAGTGGCCACCTGGCATGACTTTGGCCACTCTGTTGCTCATAAAACTAATTCCTGGTGCTCTGTAGGAAGCTGGGAGGGCCGGCAGAGAGAGCACAGAACGGATGTGGTTTCTCCTGTAAATCCCATACCGAAGCTGTCACTCCTGCTGCAAAAGAAACATACCTGTATAGTAAAGCTGCGAACCTTCTCTATCCCAATGTAGACTTGAAAAGCCCTCTAGCACGTCGCATCAGGCTGGAAGGCGCTTCCTCCCCTTCCTCGGTCCAAAATCTTACGGTCTGGTGCCCGCTACAATGTTAAGAAAATGTGGTGACATAATTGGGCTCAGGGCTCCAGAACTTTCCCCTAAATCTTTCTTCTTGTTCCTTTTTCTGACGTCCTCCCCCCGGAGTGCTGGGGGCTCCCACTGCCGTCTCCTCCTTCCTCTGTCCCCTCGGTGGTCGCCATCCATCCTCCGCACGCCCTCACCCTCGGACCTCCGTCCCCCACTTACCCTCCTCCAAGCCCAGTCAGGAAGGGACGCTTGCTGGAGGATTTGGGGGCTCTGCCAGTGGTACCATATGGACTCAACCGCCACTCTGTGTCCCCTGGCAGGTGCCCTGGCTCAAGCAGAGACGGAGCCCTGTGCCCTCTCATGCCCACAGCCAGCCCGGGCTGTGCACCATGTACCAGGTAAGACGTGTGCTGACCCCCCCAGGCCCCTCCTGTCCTCCTCAGTCAGCGGGGGCCGCATCCGGGCACGTTCCAGCCCGTGGGCTGCAGCAGGTGCAGCAGGTCTGGAGTGCCTGGGGGAGTCACGTTTGCAAAGCGAGGGGGCCAGGTCCTCAGGGGAAGCAAGCAAAGGTCAAGGTGAGAAGACCGAAAACTCTTGTTCAAGAGGCCTTTGAATTCCCAGGCGGGATCCTGCACAGATGACCCACAAAGGGCCAGCTGTGGGGTCAGGGCAGTGGATGGGCCCCTGGGACCAGCGGGGCCTCAGCGGTTCCACGGGCACCAGGGCACGGGGAGCCGGCTACCACCGTGACATTGACCTGCCCTTGAAAACCAGTGCCTGATGTACACTGAGCGATTGCTAGTTGAATTGTCACATGACGTGTGTCCTTGGGAAGGTCGATGGCGGGTGCTGTCCCCACCTGGGCTCGGTGGGGCCTACGCTGGGATGGAGGACGAGCCGTCACCTGTCTTCATCTGCTGCTCGGAGCACGGAGGGCCCACAGGTGAGTCCGGACAGCAGGGGGAATCAGGAAAAGCAGCATCACCCCAGAGGAGGTCCTGAGTCCACCAGGAGTCACACTCCTACTTACGCACGGTGGCGGCCACCACACGGGTTTGCAGCCACGGGCCAACGCTTTCAGGTGACAGTGTGCGCCCGATTCAGACACCTGAGTGTGTCACCTGGGGAGATGCAGAAGGTTGGGAACCCGTGCCTGAAGAGGATGGACAGCGTGGTGAGCGTACTGTCCGGACACGCTTGTGGACCATCCCCTCCCAAGAGCATCAGCGGGACAGGCTGTTGTCCAGCCCCTGTGGCCACTCGCTCTGTAAACGCCTCTCTCTGCAGCTCGTCGGTCAAAGCAAACGCCCTCCCCGGGAGGCCAGTGCCCCCGCATGCTCCGTGAAGCCACCGGAGCGCCAAAGCCCCTGCCACAGCGGCCCCTGGTGCGTGTGACTGGGTAACAGTGGGCCCCACACCTGGGTGTGAAGCCCCCACGTAGGGCCAGCTTGCCCCTTTCCCCCAAAACCACTCCACGCCTTCCTGCCCCAGGCTCTCCTCCACCGACCAAGACTGCTTCTGTCAGAAGCCGAGCTCTCCACAGAGGGAGACGGGCTGCACTCTTCGGGTCACACCAAGAATGTTGATTGTTCTCTTTAAAAAACTACTTGGCAGAGAAAAAGCAACACCCCTCTCCTCCGCCTCTTCACCCCAGACCAACTTCTGTGCGTGCATTAAAACAACCAGGCCTGAAAGAAAGAGTCTGCACAACACCATCTCTGGCCACCAGCAGGCACACTAAGGTTCAGAGGACACACTGCGGGGTTCTGGTCCTGGGTTCTTTGTATTTATTGTTTGTTCATTTATGGACTCCCCCTAAATACTGGGCACCCCAAACGCGATTTGGATTGGCTTGCAAGAACACACGCGAGAATACTGAAACACGCACAGCACTGACTAGCGGTGTGTATGTGTGCATGGTACTCGCCTGTCTGCTAAGTGACCCGAAGTCGAAGACAGACCCCGAGTGGAAACCAAGGGCGGAGTTGCCACACGGACCAAGCCAGTGGGCTCCCCAAAGTCGTTACTGACAGTGCAGACCCCCCGAGGGCCTAGTCCACCCCCAGGGCCTCAGTGATCCACGTGGCAGGTCCCCACCATGCGAAATGCTTTTCAGGAGGCGCCTGTGTGTCGGGTGCACAGAGGACAGGCGGGCCGGGTCTGGGAGCCCCGGAACCTCCCTTCCGCAGGGAGAGACACTGCCACGCTGTTCTCACGCTGAGGAAAGCAGTGCAACCGGGTCTTCTCTCCTCTCTGAGCAAGAGCTTCTGATGATTTGAAATGTCTCCCTCCAGCAATTTGGGATCCATTATTGTTTCAAGAAGATGGTCGTGTGTACCGGAGGGTAGATCTAATGGCACTTGACACAGGCCTGCTTCGGTAAATGGCTTCAGAATGCACCTGTCTGAGATTCTGTGGCAAAGGGCACTAGACACAGGCATGCAGAGGGAATAAAGGCCGCTGGGTAGAGCCGGGAGCTGAAGCTCGGACTCTCAGCACTTAGCCGAAACCATCTTCCCTCCCCCGTGGCTCGGAAACTCCAAAGCTACCAATAAGCAATGCCGAGCAGACATTCTATACCCTGACCTTCCAGAACACTCCTCCTTCTCCCTGTGTCCTCGTGAGTCTCTCTGCAAATCCACCAGGAAGGCTAGGAAAGAGCCAGCCCCCATGACATCAGGGTGACCAGCAAAGGACACGTGGGTTCCACAAGCCAACCCCCACCAGGAATTCTTTGATTCCAGGGGATCCAACACGTGTCCTAGAACTACCGGAGCTCAACCTGCAGGGACGGAACGTGACCACCGCATGTGGGGAGAGAGTAGCCCACGCCGATGGTGGCATCCTATTCGGGAACCCAAACGCAAGTTGGAGAGGCCGGAATTGCAAGGGAGAGACGGGGAGCAGCTTGGTGGAGGGCAGTCCCCTAGGGAAATATCAAACCCTTTTTCCTTGCGTGTCCTGCTCTGCCCAGCCGGCCACCTCTCCCTGCACGGGGCCCCCATCTCGGGGGGATGCGTGAAGCACGGGCACTGTGGGGGTGCCAGGCCTCATGCAGGACACCTGGCGCCACAGCCACCCCTCCCTGGGGGCGAGCGAGGACCAGCGACGGGACGCCGTCCACCCTTGACTCCCCCAGCTCCTAGTCCCTTGGAGGCCGCAGGCCACTTCACAGGCCTCCCTGGCTGGAGAAGGCCCAGGCAGCTACCACGCACACCAGAGTTCAAGAGCCAGTGACACCTCGTGCTGCAGACAAGTGCCGAGTAAGACTCAGAAACGCGGGCTGTGGCCCTCTCTTCGCCTGAAAAGCACCAACGCAGCGGAAGTCGCCATCAGCGCTGCCCACTCCGTGGGGGTCCCGTGCCACTGGAGAGAAATACGAGAGGCGCACGTGCCGCCCCAGCCCTGGGCACCCCTAGGTCTGTCACGCTTGCCTGTCGGCCACGCGACGCCTGAGCCACGCTGGAAGGACACCCAGGGGCCCCGGGAGCCGCGGGCTCCCCTCCGCCTCTCACCGGCTCTGGCCTTGGGGCCACTGCGTTTCTGCTCAGACCTCAGCTTCTCGACCATAAAGTAAGTGTCAGATGAAGGACTGGGAGTATTTCTCTGAAGACTGGGGTGCAGCGTGTCCCCAGGACATCCCCACAAGCGCTCGCGGTGACCCAGGTTTCGCCAGCCCCGCAGCAATCGGGATGCCTTCCTGTGCACTCGGCCTGTGAGGGCTCGGTCTGCGCAGGACAGACAGGAATCCCCGTCTCCCGGCCTCCAGACACTCCCCGCACGCTCCCGGGGCCCAGCCTTTCCCCGGGGGGATGGGGGTCTGCTTCCCACCACAGCTGAACTGGGGGCCCACGACCCTCACTTGCTGGAAAACCTGCTGCAACTTGTCTTTTTCTTCCAAAGAGAATGTTCCAGACCCCACGCCCCTGAACCTGCTTGCTCACAGTCTGCGCAGAGACCATTGGATCCCAAGAAGAGACTTCGGGGCTCATCGTTTGGGTTTATAGCTCAGTTGTGACGTCCGCTTGACATTTATGCTAAAAGAGCTTCTGTGCACGTCAGACTCATCGAGGTCTTTGTACATTGAGTGCCTGGAAGTAGCGGGGCGCGCCGACATCCCGTCCTGCTTCTCGCCGTTCTGGGGACAGCGAGGAAGCCACAGGAAGGCCTCACTCCAGAACAGCCGGCGCCAGACGCCCTGACTCTGGGGAGCAGACCTGCCCTGTGGGGCAGACCTTGCCTCTGCCAGGAGCTCTGCGGCTTCCCTGGGGCGAGGGGCCGAGACACTGCCATTTCTGCTGAGCACGGGGCGCGCTGCTGGCCCTCCCATCACCGGGGGGGATGCCTCGGCAGAAGGGCCCCTTAGAGCTGGTGAGCGCCAGGTGGCCAGTGCAAGACCGAGAGGGGAGGCCCGGCGCCGGAAACCCACCACCATCTTACGGCTTTCGCAGCATCTGAGAGCAGCTTCCAGCCCGACAGGTGCCCCCAACCCCTCCGCCCCCTCCGTTGTCCTCCCCTCCACCGCGCCCACCTCCCAGGATGACAGAGCCTGACCGCGGGCATCAGGCGGGGACACGGGGCTTGCTGTGTCTTTCTGTGCCCAGGGGCACAGCCTCTTGTCATTCCGACCCCTGCACGCCCACCGAGGACGGTCCAGCCGTCCCTGCGGGGGAGGGGGTGGTTCGTCTCCCGATTTCCCAGGAGAAGTCAGAGCCGCACTTCCCCCCCCCCCCGCCTGCCGCCCCCCGACAGCAGCCTGCATCCCCGCCCTCAGCTTCACCGTCCGCTAGCCGCAAAGCCCTGCACCCTGGTCACGGGACAAAGCGCCGGTCCCTTCCGAGCCGACCGCTGGGAACAACAGCAGGGCCACAAGGCCGAGCCCGCAGACCGCACAGCCCACCCACGGGCTCCCTTCCCGGGATCTGAGAAGCAATCTACGTCAGGACAGGCGCCACGCAATCTAAAATCGCCCTCTAAATCAAAGGTCTGCCTGAAAACTGCACCAGAAATGAAGACCGCTGTTGACCCCGCACAGCTTTCCCTGAAGAAAGAAGCTCAGCTCTAATTAAACTCACTCGAGTCAACAATTCAGGAACAAACATATTCTTAAGCTTGCAAAAGAAAAAAGCACAGAGCACACCGCACGTATCGTTCAGACTGAGAAGAATTCTCCCCCGTATACGAAATCTAGGATGTCTTGACTTTACCCCAAAACGACACTAACGCTGTCCCCTGAGGCACATTAGAAGTCTGAACAAAACCAGCGTCACGGCTTCCCCTGAGGAACGGGCATGAACGAAGGGAGGAGCAGGGCCCAAGGCCACGGGAGAGCCTCATCTGGCCCACCTGTGGTTTCTGGGGATGCGGGAGTCACAGGGTCTGGGCTGCGGATGGGAGC